TTGCCATGCCACCCATGTGAAGACCTGGATGGAGTTCCTGGCTCCTGGCTTCGGCTGGGCCCAGCTCTGCCTGCTGCAGGCATTTGGGGAGGGAACCGGCAGATGAAAGATGTAAGGAAACAGCTTAAGTTCCTGGCTTCAGCCTGGCCCAGCCCAGACAGCTGCAGCCATTTTTGGGGTGAATCAGCTTATAGAAGATCGATCTCTCTCCCATTCTTGTAACTCTGACTTTCAAATAAATAAATCTTTAAAAAAGAAAGAAAGCTAGATGGAAGATATCTCCCTGCCCCACCCCGCCAAGCGTCTGCCTTCAAATACATAAAAATTAAGTAGGGGCCCTCGTGGTGGCACAGTGGGTAAAACCACTATGTGCGATGTTGACATATATGAGAGTGCCAGTCTGTGTGCTTGCTGCTCCACTTCGATCTGTGTTCCTACTAACGCGCCTGGGAAAGCAGCAGATAATGACCTCACCTCCCATATAGGAGACCCAGATGGCGTTTCTGCCTCCTAGCTTTAGATTGGTCTAGCTCTGGCTGTTTTGGCCATTTGGGGAATGAACCAGCAGGTGAAAGCTTGTGTGTGCTCTCTCTTTCTCTCTCTCTCTCTCTCTCTCTCTCTCTCTCTCTATCTCTATCTCTCCCCCCCATCACTCTGCCTTTCAAATAAATAAATGAATCTTAAAAAACAAAAAAGCAAATAAACTTAAAAAAAAAAAAAAAAACCTCAGACTATCTAGAGGGTCTGAGTTGGTCTGTCTTTAGAAACAAATAAATAAGAAGGAATAGAATAAAAACAAAGGAGCAAGGCCGGCACCGCAGCTCACTAGGCTAATCCTCCACCTTGCAGCGCCGGCACACCGGGTTCTAGTCCCAGTCGGGGCGCCGGATTCTGTCCCAGTTGCCCCTCTTCCAGGCCAGCTCTCTGCTGTGCCCCGGGAGTGCAGTGGAGGATGGCCCAAGTGCTTGGGCCCTGCACCCCATGGGAGACCAGGACAAGTACCTGGCTCCTGCCATCGGATCAGCGCAGTGCGCGGGCCGCAGCGCACCATTGGAGGGTGAACCAACGGCAAAGGAAGACCTTTCTCTCTCTCTCACTATCCACTCTGCCTGTCAAAAAAAAAAAAAAAAAAAAAAAAGGAGCAGGTATTTGGTCTGGTGGTTAAAATGCCCACATCCCATATCAGGCAGAGAACCTGAGTTTAATACTCAGCTCCTGGCTCCAGCGTCCTGCTCTGCAGATCTTAGGGGCAGCAGTGATGGCTCAGAGACTGGGTTCCGGCCGCTCATAAGGGACACCTGGACTGAGTTGTTCCTGGCTCTGGCTCTGGCCCTGGCTCAGCCCCAGCCATTTGCAGACATTTGGGGAGTGAACCAGTGGTTGGAAGTAAACAATCTCTCTCATTGCTCCACTCCCCAAATAAAATAAATATTTAAAAATAAAGACATAGTACAAATCTAAAGGGGTAGGCAAATTTACTTACACCAGCAAGCTAAGAATAGCTCTTACATTTTTTTTAGAGTTGTAACAACAAAGAATATGGGGGCGGGGGGGAAAACTATGGTGTACCAGGTAAAGCCTCCACATGCAGTGCCAGTATCCCATATGGGCGCCAGTTCGAGTCTCGGCTGCTTCACTTCCGATCCAGCTCTCTGTTATGCCCTGGGAAGGCAGTGGAAGATGGCCAAGTGCTTGGGCCCTTGACTCCTGGCTTTGGATCAGCACAGCTCCAGCCATAGCAGCCATCTAGGGAGTGAACCAGTGGGTGGAAGACCTCTCTCTGCCTCTGTCTCTCTGTAATTCTGCCTTTCAAATAAATAATTTAAAAAAATAGTTATAAAAAAGAGTAAAAGAGATGGTGCAATCTAAAATTACAGAAGTGTTCAGAAAATCCGGAGAGCAGCATGAACCTATCAGACTAACACATCAGGAAGTACCAGGTTTTCACATCAGAAAACCTAACACGTGACATGGGACACAGACAAAACTAAAATCATCGTTTGAGACTGGGGCCAGCACTGTGGCACAGAGGGTTAAACCACCACCTGCAGCGTGGGCATCCCATGGGCACTGGCTGGAGTCCCAGCTGCTCCACTTCTGATCCCGCTCCCTGCTAAGGTGCCTGAGAAGTACCCGAGCCTCTGCCACTCATGTGGGAGACCTAGATGGAGTTCCAAGCTCCTGGCTCTGGCCTGGCCTAGCCCCAGCCGTTATGGTCAGTTATAGGGGTGGACTAGCAGATAAAGGATCTCTCTGTCTCTTGCTCACTCTTTCTGTAACTCTACCTTTCAAATACATAAATCTTTTTTTTTAATTTTTTATTTTATTTATTTATTTTTTAACAGGCAGAGTTAGACAAAGAAAGAGAGATAGAGAGAAAGGTCTTCCTTCTGGCCGGCGCCACAGCTCAACAGGCTAATCCTCCGCCTACGGCGCCGGCATCCCAGGTTCTAGTCCCCATCAGGGCGCCAGATTCTGTCCCAGTTGCTCCTCTTCCAGTCCAGCTCTCTGCTGTGGCCCAGGAGTGCAGCAGAGGATGGCCCAAGTGCTTGGGCCCTGCACCTGCAAGGGAGACCAGGAGAGGTGCCTGGCTCCTGGCTTCGGATCAGCGCGCTGCGCCGGCCACAGCAGCCATTGGGGGGTGAACCAACGGAAAAGGAAGACCTTTCTCTCTGTCTCTCTCTCTCTCACTGTCCACTCTGCCTCTCAAAAAAAAAAAAAAAAAAAAAAAAAAGAAAGAAAAAAGAAAGGTCTTCCTTCCATTGGTTCATCCCCCAAATGGCCGCTACGGCCGGCGCGCCCCACTGATCCTAAGCCAGGAGCCAGGTGCTTCTCCCATGCAGGTGCAGGGGCCCAAGCACTTGGGCCATCCTCCACTGCACTCCCGGGCCACAGCAGAGAGCTGGACTGGAAGAGGGGCAACAAAGAGGAGCAACCGGGACAGAATCCGGCGCCCTGTCTGGGACTAGAACCCGGGGTGCCAGTGCCGCAGGCGGAGGATTAGCCTAGTGAGCCGCGGTGCTGGTCCAAATACATAAATCTTAAAAAGAAAACAAAACGTATCTCTCCCTACACTAAAAAGAAAAAGTTAGAACCCCTTCTAAAACTATCAAAACCTTTTTTTTTTTTTTTTTTTTTGACAGGCAGAGTGGACAGTGAGAGAGAGACAGAGAGAAAGGTCTTCCTTTTGCCGTTGGTTCACCCTCCAATGGCCGCTGCGGCTGGCGCACTGCACCGATCTGAAGCCCGGAGCCAGGTGCTTCTCCTGGTCTCCCACGGGGTGCAGGGCCCAAGTACTTGGGCCATCCTCCACTGCACTCCTGGGCCACAGCAGAGAGCCGGCCTGGAAGAGGGGCAACCGGGACAGAATCCGGTGCCCCGACCGGGACTAGAACCCGGTGTGCCGGCGCTGCAAGGCGGAGGATTAGCCTATTGAGCCGCGGTGCCGGCCAAAACTATCAAAACCTAAAAAGTAGTTTTGCCTCAAAACTTTGAGTCTTTATCCTTTCCAAATAATTAAACATTCTGCGGGAATCAAAATGCATCACCTTTAAAGAGATGAGAGAGTAACTTAGGGGAGAATTTTATTTGAACTATCTTCTCTGTAATACATCCTTTATTTACAGAAACACACAAGTTTAATTTAAAAAAATGTATTACTTTTAAGGAGAAGGCACGAATCAATAAAATTCTGATCTACCGCACCACCATCTTCTGTGAGAAACTACTTAAAAATGCTCATTTTTTCTACACCACAAGAATCTTTTGAGTGCTTAATGGTCAATCTGTAAAACGCAAACCTTCAAACTGCAGATTCTGAATAGATTCGACACACTTTTTAAAAGATGTCAGCACACCCAACCTTCTGTCATGGTTTTATGACAAGTTCTAATAATGAAATCACTATTACACCACTGATAGTCAACATAGAAACACTTGTTACATTACACAGAATCCTCTGGCCTGGGAGATACCAGCCCTGAAGAAGTGGCTCTGAAACCACTGGTATGCACTACGGGACTCAGTAAGCATTTATATAGCACATTTACATCTGCCAAGGGCTTCATAACCTTTTTATTAGCTGTTTCCAGTCCAAAACAACCTATGAAGAACTTTACAGAAGAGGAACCTAGGCCCAGAGAGGAACCAAAGAAAACGAAGCGCACCCCAGAGGAACTAACACCATGCCAGCTCCCTCCAGACGCCGGCCCTCTGCAGCACGCACCCTGCCAAAGTAAGTTACCCCGGCGCACGACCGAGAGCGAAGCCCTGCGCGGACGCCCGCACGCCTCCCAGCGCCAGCACCCACGCCGGCTTGCGTTCTCAGGCACCTCGATAAGGAAGTCAAAGTCTCACGACACACTGGCAGCGGCTAAATATCAAGGGGTTCCGTTTGCTTCTGTTTTTTCCAAAAAAAAAAAAAAAAAAAATGAAGCGGATAAGCAAAGCGGTTCAAACGCCAGGCGTCCAAGTCAGGTCCTGCAGGCCCGCCACCGACAGCAGCGGCCCGCGGACGGCCCCGCCGGACCCCGCGCCCGGCGGAGGGGGCTTCTCCCCTCAGTCGCGGTGAAATCCGCGAGTCCCGGAGGCTGACAGACACCTGAGCCGGGCCCACTGGAAGATCCCGTTTCTCCCACCTCGGCGCTAACATCTGAATGAGAACACACCGCACCCCGCTTCCCCAGGCCATCGCGCAGCACCGCACCCCGACTCCTCAGGCCACTCATCCCACACTTCCGCGCCCCCTCCCGCCCGTCTCCCGGGGCCCGCTCCGTGACCCACATCCCCGCACCCCCGCGGCACTTCCGCCCCGGGGGCTCGCGGCTCCACCGTCCACGCAGCCCCCGCCCCGGCTTTGTCTCCCGGCCCCCGGCCCGCGGCCCCACGGCGCCCCGGCCTCGCCCGGCCGGCCCCTCCCCCCGCTTCCTCCGTCCGCCCTCGCCGCCCGCGGCCCCTCCGCCCACGCCCACCCCGCGCCGCGGTCCGCCGCGGGCCTTCACCTTGTCCATGAGCTTCCAGCACTTCTCCACCATCTTCTTGTCCACGGCGCCCGGCGGATGGGGGCTGAGGTGGTGGTGGTGGTGGTGGTGCGGCTGGAAGGCGTCTTTCATGAGCCCGATCAGGCCGCCCGAGCCCGAGCCCCCGGAGCCGCCGCCGCCCCCGGCCCCAGAGCTCTTTTTCACGTTGCCGGCCATGGCTCGGGGACGCTCCCGGGCCCAGCCGGCTCCGCTCGGCTGCGAGCGAGGGAGAGAAGGAGGGCGTGAAGGAGGGGCCTCTCCCGGCCGCCGCCGCCGCCGCCGGCTCTCCGGGCCGAGGGAGGAGCGGCCGCCGGGAGGGGAGTGGGCGGCGCCGGGAGAGCGCGGGGCGCGCCCCTTCCGAGAGCGCGAGCCCGAGAGCGGGTGCGCGCCGGCGGCCGAGCAGCGAGCTCGCGGAAGCGGGCGGCCGCTCAGGGCCCGGCAGCGACCCCGCGCACGAGCCGCCGGCGTGCCCGCAGCGCCGGGAAAACCGCGGCCAAGTTTCCGCGGCCGGCGCCCCCCGCCCCCGCGCCACCGACTCTACCCCCGGGGGGCGGGCCGGGGCGGGGCCAGCCGAGCCTTGGCGCCTGCGCCCTCTGCTGGACAAGCGGGGAACGGCGGCCGGGAGGAAGGGAGGGAGGGAGGGACAGCGCGGAGTCTGCGCACTAGGCCAGGGGCCGAGCCCTCGGTGCCCAGGATCGGCTGGAGGTGGTGGGCGCTCCGGCCGTGGGTCCCCGGCGTGTCTGAATTAGGGCAGGTGACCACGGAAAATCTCTTCACATGAGGCCTTCTCCCTACGCCTGCCCGATGAGGAAGTTGGGCCTAGAGTTATTGGCTTCTTCAGATGGTGGGAAAATGGTGGGGGTGGTTTCCCCACCCACTGGTATTTAAGAATCTTCACTAAGAAGCGACTGGGGGGCGCGCGCTGTGGCGGCTGCATCCCACGTGGGCCCCAGTTCAAGTCCTGGTTGCTCCACTTCCGATCCAGCTCCCTGCTAATGCTCCTGGGAGAGCAGCGGCAGATGGCTCAGGTGCCACCCACGTGGGAGACCTGGATGAAGCTTCTGGCTCTCTCCAGCTCTACCTTTCAAATAAGTGAATAAAACTTTTAAAAAGGAAAACGACGAGGAACACGCGCGCTGCGGGCTGCTGGATGCCGTCCCTAAGCCCCAGAGAGGCTTGCGACACTCAGGCCCTCTGACCTCGTGCAAGCAGAGTTCCCTTTTTCGGTTCTCGCCCCCTCTGCTCCGCAGAGACTGGTTCCCTTTCTGGGACTCGCTCCCGGCTCGGCACCGCACCGCAGGTCCGGCGGGCCCGCCCCCAAAGCTGCGAGCCCGCGGCAGCGCGGGGGACAGAAGGCAGCTCCAGGCACTTCCACTTCTCTAAAAGTTCCGCTGGGAGAACTTCGAAAATAGGAACTTCCCTTCCAGAGGGGCCCCGCGCCCCGCCCCGACTCGCTGCGCCCGGCCTCGGCTCTGGGCGCTGGCCGGCGCACGTGTGTCTCGGGCTCGGCTCTGCCCGGCTCCGCCCTTCCGCGAAGCCCTTGACAGCCGACCCGGCCTCAAGTAGTTGTCATGGGCTCTGCAGGAGAGGACAGCGTCTTAGAACTCAAGGGCCTCGCAGCCGGACGTCCTACTCTTGCTAAGCAATCGCTTTTATCTAAGATTGACTTTGGAGTCAGCGTCACTTCCTATTAATCAGTAGAATGCCCTTTGATCAGTTCGCACCTGGAAACAGAAGCATCCACAGAGGGATTCCCCGTTATCTCCAGAATAAAACTCCCGTGGGGGTCTAACTGCAGAGTGAGCCCCTTCTACTTCTATACGATTCCCTGATCCGTATGTCCCTCAATGGGGCACTCACTGCACCACAATTCTTTCTCCCCACCACTACGCAGAGCAGCCTGCCCGAAGTGTGCACCTAAAATCCAAGCCACTCTTCAAGCTCCACTTGGAATACTGTTCTGGCCACACATTCCAGCTGCAAGCAACCCTGCCCTCTCTGATTTGCATACCCACTCATGTCTTACACCCATTGCGCCTTAACATGTGCAGTGCCGGCTGGCCTTTGGATCTTCTGCAGTACCTAGCGCAGTGCGCATGCAGGAGGCTGTTTTTCAGAGTCGGACGATGTTCAGCTAAGACAGGGACCTGTGGAGCGGGTGTGTGCTTGTCCAGGTGTGCACTACACATTTGGCATATAGTGAGCTCCAGTGAGCTCTGCATGGCCTGGAGATGGATCACGTTCATTTTGCTTCCAATGCAGCACATCATGTTTCTTCTAACCTATGTATGGCTGGTCTGTCTTACTTGAATCAAAGAAAAAGAGTGGGCTTTGGCTCCACTGTACCTCTTCAGAATGCCCCATGGGTAGGCTCCGTTCAGGACAGAGTCCTACAACAGTGAGCTTTCCAAAGATGGGGTTCATGCGAAAACAGCAACCTTCTTCTCCCAACTTTTATTTGGCTTTTTTTCAAAAATGTCCCAGAGGGGCCCGGCGTTGTGGCGTAGCAGGTTAAGCCACCACCCGCAGTGCCCAGTTCTAGTCCTGGCTGCTCCACTTCTGATCCAGATCCCTGCAAATGTGTCTGGGTTGTGGTAGAGGCTTGGGCCCCTGCCACCCACGTGGGAGATCCAGAAGCTCCTGGCTCCTGGCTTCCGAACAGCCCAGCCCCGGCTGTTGTGGCCATTTGGGGAATGAGCCCAATGGGTGGGAGACCTTTCTCTCTGTCTCTCCTTCTCTCTTTCTATAACTCTGCCTTGCAAATAAAAAACAAAAAATGTCCTAGAGCTGGTGTTGAATTGTTGATCACGGCGTTATTCCCACTCTGGGTTTTGTTAGAGCTGGTTCATCTGGTGCCACTTCACCCCAAACCACATCCTCCTTCTGCACCTGAACGTCAGTTAACTGAATGAACTTGGAAAGGAAATGCCCCTCTGACACGACATGGTGCTTGTATCCCATAATCCTTAGCCTCGGGATAATTTCCTTCACCAGCTAAAGGAGACACACACCGTTCCATGGGAAAAGTCCCCACAGGAGGGGCACAGGAACCCACACTGAATTTCAAGGCAGAGGGAGGTGGTTCTGGAGGGAGGATAAATGGAAAACACGTTTCAAGATTAGAAGAAGCCGGCAGCACTGTGGCACAGTGAGCTAAGTTGCCAGCATGCCACTCCTGAGTGCTAAGAGTCCAGGCTGCTCAGCTTCTATCCAGCTTCCTGCTAACGCGCCTCAGAAATCAGTGGAAGGAGGGCCAAGTGCTGGGGTCCATGCACTCACATGGCAGACCTGGATACAGTTCCTGGCTCCCGGCTGTAGCCCGGCCCAGCTCCAACCACTGCGGCCATTTGGGAAGTGAACCAAGGGATAAATATTTTTCTTTCTCCTTCCGACACACTGCCTTTTAAAAAATGATTTATTTATTTACTTTCAAAATCAGAGTTACAGAGAGATCTTCCATCTACTATTTTACTCTCTAGACAACTGAAGCCAGGAGCTTCTTCTGGGTCTCCCACCTGGGTGGCAGGGGTCCAAACACCTGGGCTATCTTCAGCTGCTTTTCCCAGGCCATTAGCAGGCAGCTGGATTGGAAGTGGAGAAGCCAGGACATAAACCGGTGCCCCCATAGGATATTGGCACCGCAGGGGGAGGCTTTACCCACTATGCCATAACACCAGCCCCCCACCCACCCACCCAGTGCCTTTCAAATAAATAAAAATAAAACTTTAAAAAAGTTTTGGGCCGGTGCCATGGCTCACTTGGCTAATCCTCTGCCTGTGGCGCCAGCATCCCATATGGGTGCAGGTTCTAGTCCCGGTTGCTCCTCTTTCAATCCAGCTCTCTGCTGTGGCCCGGGAGGGCAGTGGAGGATGGCCCAAGTGCTTGGGCTCCTGCACCCGCATGGGAGACCAGGAGAAGCACCTGGCTCCTGGCTTTGGATCAGTGATGCGCCGGCCATGGTGGCCATTTGAGGGGTGAACCAACAGAGGGAAGACCTTTCTCTCTCTCTCTCTCTCTGTCTATAACTCTACCTGTCAAAAAAAGAGTTTTTAGATTTATTTATTTATTTATTTGAAAGATAGAGTGCTGCTGTGGCCTGGGAAAGTCCTTGGGTCCCTGCACATGTGTGGGAGACCCAGAAGAAGCTCCTGGCTCCTGGCTTCAGATGGGCACAGCTCTGGCCATTGCAGCCATCTGGGGAATGAACCAGTGGATGGAAGATGGCTCTCTCTCTCTCTTCATCTGCCTCTGTCTCTCTGTAACTCTGCCTTTGAAATAAATAAATCTTAAATAAATAAATAAGCTAGAAGAAAGAATAAAACTATTAAAAAACACAATAATGATTTCAAAGGATTATATACTTTTTTAAAGATTTATTTTTATTTATTTGAAAGACAGAGTTACAGAGAGAGGTAGAGACAGAGAGAGAGTGATGGTTCACTCCCCAGATGGTCTCAATGGCCAGAGCTGCACCAATCCGAAGCCAGGTTCCAGGAGCTTATTCCGGGTCTCCCACATGGGTGCAGGAGCCCAAGGACTTGGGCCATCTTCTACTTTCCCAGGCCATAGCAGAGAGCTGGATTGGAAGCGGAGCAGCCAGGACTTGAACCAGCGTCCATATGGGATGCCGGCACTGCAGGCAGGCAGCGGCTTTACCGACTACACCACAACACTGGCCCCCTGACAGTCCCTATCCTCAGACTCATTTTTCCCAACCACTGTGACTCTAGCGAGATGCTAGGAAGTACCTCAAAAAGGGACTCAGTCCCACACTGCCCAGAGATAATCCAAAATAAAAAACCTTGTGCAGATACTGTGGCGTAGAAGGTTAAGCCACTGCCTGCATGGCGGGCATCCCATATCAGAGTGCTGGTTTGAGTCCCAGCTGCTCCACTTCTAATCCAGATTCCTGCTACTGCGCCTGGGAAGCAGCAGCTGATGGCCCAAGCATTTGGGCCCCTGTCACCCATGTGGGAGACCTGGATGGAGTCTTGGGCTCCTGGCTTCGGCCTGGCTCAGACATGGCTGTGGTTGGCATTTAGGGAGAAAACCAGATGGACGATCTCTGTCTCTCTCTGTATCTGTCGTTCTGCCTTTCAAATAAATGAAATAAATCTATATAAAAAAAAAATTTAGCAGACTTGGGAATACAAGCGAGTCCACTAGAGGGAGCCCCAACCAACTCTATGGTACAGGGAGCCCCTCAAGGTAGTTTCTGAAAATCAACCACCTAAAGGCAATAGATTCAGTGGGTGCAAGAAGACAGTCATGTAAATACCCAGTCAAGACCCAGGACCTTCAGAATTTACCAACTCAGTGATGTAAAAGGCAGGAAGCAGGCTAAACCAAGTTAAATAGCTTCCACCTCCAGAGAGGGGACCTATGCTGCAGTTTTGGTCCCTAACCAGTGTCCATCCCGCCAAGCCAATACCCCAGAGTCTACGGGTCCTCACTCCTCTGTGTCTCATTTTTCTGGAAGTCTGCCCCAGCACCTGCTCCTGCACCCTGCAGAATGCCTTGCGGAAGGGACGCTTCCGGTTTCAGCACAAGGTCATCTTGCAATAGGATCTCAGGATGTGGATCGTCCAAGACGGCTGCCATCACGCTTTTCCTCCACATCCGCACAACAGTGTTGTCTCAGCCGTGCAAATCTGTCATTTCTGAGTCTCCAAATGACAGCACCTACGTGGAAGTGAATCACAGCTAGTTTGCTCCAAAGCCCTTTCTTTTCAAACTATGCTTAGGATTTGTGGATGAAAGGAGAACTACCTTTCCCAGACCTTGGTCTTTTAGGCATTGTGAGTTGATCTGGCCTATTGCACCTTCTCATGAACTCCATGTTGCTCAGTTGCCTGGGCAACATGCAACCTCCAGAAACCCAACCTTCCAGTTCTCAGTCCAGCCCCCTGAGGAAAATGTGCTGCCTTGGATTGGCTCCCAGGACGCAGGCTCCTCCTCAGGCTCCTAGCTTATTGGGCCTTCTCTCTGTCTCTCCCCACGAGTGGCTCACTCTACAGGGAGACCCAACACAGGCAAGAGAGGGTCTGACAAGTGGTGGAGGTGAGGTAAGGATGAAGGCAAGAGGGAGGGGACAGCTATGGGAATGTATCTTCGCCAAGAGAGCTGAGAGTAACAGCTTTCTGTATGCAGTGTCTTCCCCACTGACCCCAGCCCCGCCTGAGGCTCCAAGGAGACCGGCAACTGAAGCTTCTGGAAAGTAAAGGTTTGTGGGAAATGTAATTAAAAGACAAGCTTATTTTGGTGCAAAAAATTCTTCCAAGTATATTTGAGGGATGTTCAAAAAGCTCATAGAACATGTGTATTGTGAAAAAAAACTGTGGGCCGGTGCCGCGGCTCACTAGGCTAATCCTCCGCCTGCGGCGCCGGCACACCGGGTTCTAGTCCTGGTCGGGGCGCCGGATTCTGTCCCGGTTGCCCCTCTTCCAGGCCAGCTCTCTGCTGTGGCCAGGGAGTGCAGTGGAGGATGGCCCAAGTGCTTGGGCCCTGCACCCCATGGGAGACCAGGATAAGTACCTGGCTCCTGGCTTCGGATCAGCGCGCAGGCTGCAACAACCATTGGGGGGTGAACCAACGGCAAAGGAAGACCTTTCTCTCTGTCTCTCTCTCTCACTGCCCACTCTGCCTGTCAAAAAAAGAAAAAAAAAAAAGAAAAGAAAAAAGAAAAAAAAAGAAAGAAACTGTGAATGGATTTAACTGTATTTTCTATTAACTTTTTTGTTCTTTTGTTGTTGTTGTTGTTCTCATTTCTCCCTTAATTGTAACTATGTTGAGAGTCAGAGAGAGACCGACAGAAAGACAGACAGAGGCCCCATCTGCTGGTTCACTCCCCCAATTCCCCTAATGGCTGGGACTGGACCTGGCCAAAGCTGGGAGCTGGGAACTCAGTCCAGTTCTCCCAAGGGGGTGGCAAGAATCCACCTGCTTGAATCACCCTGCTACCTCCCCGAGTCTCTGCAGCAGGAAGCAGAAGTCAGGCGCTGCAGCCAGGAGTGCAGCAGGCACTCTGATATGGACTGTGGACGTCTTGACCACTAGACCGAATGCCCAGTCTGTATCCCACGAACTTTCTAAAGTACCATTCGAGTGCCAGTTCAAGTCCTGGCTGCTCCACTTCTGATCCAGTTCCCTGTTAATGTGCCTGGAAGGCGGCAGAGAATGGGCAAGTCCTGGGGCCCCGGCACCCACGTGGGAGATCAGGGGTCCAGACTCCTTACTTCTGCCTGGCCCAACCCTGGCCACTGGGGCCATTTAGGGACTAAATCAGCAGATGGAAGATCTCTCCTTCCACCCCCTGCCCCAACTCTGGCTTTCAACTAAATAAATATTTTTTTGAAATAAATAAATCTTTAAAAAAGAAAGACTTGTGTCTTTAAAACAAGAGAAAGGGGCAGACTTGGAAAGCAGACTTCTGACCCTCCCAAGACTCCTGGTTCAGGATCCCCTTGTCCAGATTTGAAAGCAAGGTCCCCTCCCTCCATCAGGACAGCAAGGAAATGCCACCCAAGACCAAACAGAAAGGCAGGAAAGCCGGCATGCAGAAGAAGAAAAAGAACCCAGGGCCGGGTGAGTCGTCATGGGTGGGGGTGGGTGCCCCTGTTTCTCTGGGTTCTGAAACAGAGACCAAGCAGAGGCCCGCAGCACAGTCCTCGCTGTCCAGATTCCACGGAGCTGAGGAATGGGGGAATGGTCACCCACGCCCTCCCTCGAGACCGCCCAGCTCTGTGCCTCCCCACTGGTCACCCATATGTTGAATGCCTCATCTGTGCTGGGCAGGGAGCACACGGTGCATGCTGAATGGACTCTGCCCGCAGGGAGCCCTCAGAGCTGGCTCAGGACGGAGTCCAGGGCCGGGGGCGGGGGCCATGTAAGCTAAGGCTCTGTCATTTGCCAGGACAGATGTGGAGGCTGAGTCCAAGCACAGACAGCTGGTGCTGGAGACGGAGCTGCTCCGAGACCGGCTGGGTAAGGAGGGTGCGCGATCTGGGACCACAGAAGCAGAGCAGTGGGGGCGCTGCTGTGTCCTGGCAGGACTGGACGTTTGGAGCCACGGTGGAGGCTACGCCAAACCCTAACCATCCCCTAGTGGAACAGGACAGGGAAGGCTGATGAGGGACGCTATTATTTACAGCCAGAACATGGAGGGAGGTTTTACTCCTTAGCAATGAAAAGCTCATGAGATCCTAGGAAAATAAAATGACCCAACAACCTAGAGAGACAGAAAGGGGCGGGCATTGTGGTGACATGGGTTCAGTCACCACCTGCGACACCAGCATCCCACTGGCTGCTCCACTGCCAGTCCAACTCCTGCTAATGTTTCTGGGAAAGCAGCCGGTAATGGTGCAAGTACTGGGGCCCAGCCCCAGCCATAGCAGCCATTTGGGGAGTGATCAGTGGATGGACAATCTTTCTCTCTCTGTCTCTGTCTCTCTCTCTCTCTGCCACAGTGCCTTTCAAATAAATAAAATAAATACTTAAAAAGAAAAAAACCAGAAAGAGAAAGAGAAAGAATAAGAGGTGGGGTGCCCTGCCCCCAGGTGTCTTTTGTTTTTAAGATTTATTTATTTATTTGAAAGTCAGAGTTACATAGAGAGAGAAGGAGAGAGAGAGAGAGAGAGAGAGGTCTTCCATCCACTGGTTCACTCCCCCAGTTGGCTACAATGGCTGGAGCTGCACTGATCCGAAGCCAGGAGCCAGGAGCTTCTTCCAGGCCTCCCAGGCAGGTGCAGGGGCCCAAGGCATTGGGCCATCTTCCACTGCTTTCCCAGGCCATAGCAGAGAGCTGGATCAGAAGTGGAGCAGCCAGGACCTGACTGGTGCCCATATGGGATGCCAGCACTGCAGGCAGTGGCTTTACTCACTATACCACAGCACCTGTCCCAGCTACCACCGGATTTCTAGAGACAGGAAGAGCCCATCCAGCCCTCTGGGGCTGATTCAGTGGCCCTCAGCGGGCTCTGAGCAGGGCTCCGGGACCGCTCACAGCTCTACAGAGGGAAGGGGCGCGTCGAGCCAAGGCTTCTGAAGAAAGGCTGAAGCAGAGGTTGCAAGAGTTGGAGGCTGAACTGGAAGAGGCCCGCAGCGAGGGGAAGGCCGTATATGCAGGTGCGTGGTCGGTTCAGCAGCTGGGCAGGACACAAGGGCCTGGGAGAAGACAAGAGGGCCTTCTGACTGCCGGGCCCAGTCTCAGCCTTCCCTGCGTAGCACAAAGCAGGCAACTCCTGGTGGATGCAAGGAGGCCTCTGGGCTCGCAGGCAGGGACCTTCCAGGGTGCCTGGGGCCAGTGTCAGTGCCAGCTGCACTGGGGGACACAGGACGCAGTCCCAGCCACTGTTTCATTCACTCAGCAGCAGTGAGCAGGCAGATGGGCTGGGGCCCTGATCCTAAGCCGGAGTGGGGAGGCGGCCTGGTGTCCTTCCCTTTCCCCAGGTGTCCAGGGTCTCCCAGCATCCCAGGATCACAGGAACTGAGCAGTTCCTTGGGCTCCTGTCTCCTGGACCACACAGTTCCTTCCCGCCCCCGACTCCTTGCCTTTCTCCATCCCTCCTCCATCCCTGGCCGTCCACCGTCCTCCCTCCAGAGATGAGTCGCCGGTGCAGGGCCCTGCAGGAGCAGATGGAGAGACGCAGCAAGCAGCTGGAGGAGGAAGTGAGGGGTCTCCGCAAGCAGCTGGGTAGGTGCCCCGCCCTGCCCTGGGCCTTTCCTCTCCAAGGGAGGCTGACAAGATCCAGGTTCAGTGCGGGGGCAAACTTAGGTCTTCTCCTAGAAGGCTGCCATCTGTCCATCGTCTTCCCCTCCCCCAACCTTGGCTCCCGCAGTGAGGATCAGGCAGAGGTGAGGACAGCATGCAGCTCACTAGGCTAATCCTCCGCCTGGGGCGCTGGCACCCCGGGTTCTAGTCCCGGTTGCACCTTTTCCAGTCCAGCTCCCTGCTGCGGCCCAGGAAGGCAGTGGAGGATGGCCCAGGTCCTTGGGCTATGCACCCACATGGGAGACCAGGAGGAAGTACCCTGCTCCTGGCTTCGGATCCGCGCAGCGCACAGGCCGTAGCAGCCTTTTCGGGGGTGAACCAACGGGAGGAAGACCTTTCTCTCTGTCTCTCTCTCTCTGTCACTGTCTAACTCTGCCTGTCAAAAAATAACAATAAAAATAAAAATAAAAAAAGACCCTTTAGGGCAAAGTAAGGAAGAGGCACACCTCGCCCTATCCCCCCTTGCCTGGAATCTCCAGACCCAGCTGTCACCTCACTCCCTGCCACTGCCACGTCTCTCCAGGGCATATCAGAGCACATCAAAATACTCATGGAAAAATGGAATTACAGGATAAGCTTAGGTGCAAGAAACATTGAAAATCTATGCATTTTTTAAAAGATTTATTTATTTATTTGAAAGGCAGAGTTACAGAGAGAGAAAGAGAAACAGAGACACAGAGATCTTCCATCTGCTGGTTCACTCCCCAAATGGCTGCAATGGCCTGTGCTGGGCCAGGCCAAAACCAGGAGCCTAGAATTTCATCTGGTCTCCCACATGGGTGGCAGGGGCCCAAGTATACGGGCCATCTTCCAAAACCTTCCCAGACACATTAGCAGGAAGTTGGACCAAAGGTGGAAGAACCAGGACTTGAGCCAATGCTCCCATGTGGGATGTGGGTATTACAAGTGGTGCCTTAATCCACAGCACCATAATGCTGGCCATTATTTCCAGTCATATTTCCTTCTAACTTTCTGAAATATTCTTCATCTCCCTTCTCAGGTTAGCTAATTTTTACAATGAAACTAAGGGAAAATGTTAGGCTTCTTAACTTCTATATCTCTAAGGCCTACCACCTGGTAGATCCTTTTTCCTAAATAAGTGGATAAACTCTCTATATAAGCAAAAATATAAAAGCCAGGAAGCCTTTGCTTCTCTTCCCTCTTGCTTCTTGGCCCAGTCCTGGCTGTTGCAGCCATTGGGGAAGTGAACCAGAGGATGGAAGACCTCTTTCTCTTTCTCTTTCTCGTTCTCTCTTTCTCTTTCTCTTTCTCTTTCTCTTTCTCTTTCTCTCTTTCTCTTTCTCTTTCTCTCTTTCTCTTTCTCTTTCTCTCTTTCTCTTTCTCTTTCTCTTTCTCTTTCTCTTTCTCTTTCTCTCTTCTCTTCTCTCTCTTCTCTTCCTTCTCTCTCTCTCTCAATATAAAAAATTATTTATTTGAAAGACAGAAAGGAGAGTTCTTCCATCCACTGGTTCACTTCCCAAATGGCTACAACAGCCAGGACTGGGACTGGCTGAAGCCAGGAGCCAGGAACTCCATCCAAGTTTTCCAAGGGCCCAAGCACCTGGGCCATCTTCTTCTGCCTTCCCAGGTGCGTTAGCGGGGAGCTGGATCAGAAGTGGGACAGCTGGGACTCAAACTGGCACCCTGGTGTGGGACGCCAGTGTCACAGTGGTGGCTTAACCCACCACACCACAACTCTGGCCCCTCATTTGCCCTTTAAGATGAAGAAACTGGGGTAGGTGTTTGGTGTAGCAATTAAGATGCTGACTGGGTGGCCCACATGTCATTTTGAAGCTCCAAGGTTTGAGTCACAGCTCCACTCCTGCTACTGTGCACCCCAGGAGGCAGCAGCTGATGGCTCAAGTAGTTGGATTCCTGCCACTCACGTCAGACACATGGATTAAGTTCCTGACTTCAGTTGCAAGCATTTGGGGAGTGAACCAGCAGAGAGGAGCCATGGTGTGTGTGTGTGTGTGTGTGTGTGTGCAAGTGCCCACAGATGCCTCTCAAATAAAGAAGAAACTGGGGTTTAGGGAGACATGCATGAGCTTACACGAACAGTGACAACCAGACTTAGCCCCCAGCTCCTCTCCAAGCTCACTACTCATAAACCTCAATGGACCTTCAGCTCTTTGCAGGGACTATGAGGAGGTCGCTGACCTGGGCGGAGTCTGAAATGAACACACTCAGAGCCTCCTTTTCAGGTGCCTTTGGAGACTGTGCAAGCACCAAATTCACCGTCCTGTCCTCTCCCATCCTCTGCTCTGCTCCCCAGAGACTTGCCAGAGGGAGGCTGCGGCTGTACAGGGGGAGGCAGCGCGGGCCCTCGGAGAGCGGGACCACACCTTGGCTCAGCTTCGGGCCCACGTGGCCAGCATGGAAGCCAAGTACGAGGACATCTTACACGTGAGCACCCCGCCACCTCCACGAGCCCCACAGGGTGATGACTGCCAACCCGGGGGGAAGAGAAGAAAGGGACTCCAAGGGACCCCTGCTCTGTCCCTAGCACAGGCAGAGGGAGTTCCACGGTGCCCACTCCCTTAGACCAGGAAGAATGCTGGCAGGGAGAGCTCACAAGGCAGCCGCCCTCTCTTCCTGGGGACTGGGAGCTTGGTATCCGCAGGGCAGCCTGGACCGGCTCCTGGCCAAGCTGAGGGCCACCCAGCCCCAGTGGGACGAGGCCGCACTGCGACTCCACGCCAGACACAAGGAGCAGCTGCGCCAGCTTGGACTCAACCCCCTGGATCTTTGAAGCTGCCAGCCTCTGGGCTCTGGGACCCTCTGAGACCCCAGAAATAAAACATCCTGAAGGAGAACTCAGCTGAACCGTGGGCTGTGGCCTTTTGTCATAGAGGAGTGGCTTCCGTGGGGACACCTCTGTTCTGAGCATCCCGTCCCTTGATCCACAAGGCTGAGTGATGAGAGAGAAAACCGGCAAAGTCCCACCCCTTCTCCTACAGAAACTGGAGCCCAGCCCCCGAGCCTGGGACCTCCAGCTCCCTTTAAACCACTGCCCCATATCTCCACCAACAAAAACACAGGCAGTCCGATTTATGGGGAAAGGCCATTTAAATAACAGACACACAGCGTCCAGGGGCCAGCCCCCCCAGCCCGAAGGTGCCCACTCAGGGAGGGGGTTGCTGGGTCTCCCAATTCTTGGACCCAGAGAGTCCCAGAGTGGCACCTAGGTCAAGTCCCAGAGGGCTTCCAGCCCAGCCAGCCCCACAGCACCCCCTTCTCAGGCAAAACTTAGTCCTCGGGGTGCAGCCATCTACAGCCACCGAGGGACATCCCCCGGCACCTGAGGCCCCCGAGGCCTCTGCCCCAGCCCTTCTGCTGACAGCTGGGCCATGGCAAGGGAGGGGGCTCCCGGGCAGTGCTGCGGTGGGTGGTGTCCAAGTCCTCCAGCCCCAGCTTCCGGCTGAGTGATAGCATCCTTGCCACCACCTCGGGCTGGCTGTGAAGAGAGGCCCTGGGAGATCTCACCAAGCTGAGGCGCTCTACAGCACATCCGAGGGGAGAGCCCAGTCCTGCTTGGAGACAATGGCGGAAGGTTGTCCCTGGACCCTGAGTGTCCCTTCGCCCTGCCCCCACTGCCCCCGAATGTGCAGGAGTGGCATTGTTCCGTGGATTCTCCGCACCCCCGACCCCCATGACTTGAAGTCCCACCCTGCAGCCGTCCCGCTCTGGCCTTCGCTGGCGCTCGCAGTCCCACCCGTCTCTTCTTGCTCACCTCTCCAGACCCGGGGGGAGTCCAGGCCTCCGAGCCCCACTGAGACCTGGCCGCCAGCTTCAGGCAGAGGGGTGGCTCCGCCTCCGCCAGCTGCTGAAGCCTTTGCGGGGTGCCATCTCCACCCACGGAGACCCCGTTCACCTCCAGAACCATGTCTCCCCTTTGCAGCCCTGCGCGGGCAGCGGAGCTTCCTGGAGTCACCTGACGGCACAGAACAAGGAAAGGCCATGGGGGAGTCTGCCGGGTGCCGGTGCTCTATGGCTCTAGGAGGGAGGGAGATGGGCACTGATCAGGAGGAAATGCTGGGAAGGGGGCTGTGCTATGCCGTCTACAGCAATGGCATCACACATGGGCACTGGTTTGAGTCCTGGTTGCTCCACTTCCAATTCAGCTCCCTGCTAATACACCTGGGAAAGCAGCGGAAGATGGCCCAAGTCCTTGGGGCCCTGCACCCATGTGGGAGACCTGGAAGAAGTTTCTGGCTCCTGGCTTCAGACTGACCCAGCCCTGGCCATTGTGGCCTTTGGAGAGTAAATCAGCAGGTGGAAGATTCTCTCTCTCTCTCTCTCTCTCTCTCTCTGCTTCTCCTTCTCTGTACCTCTGCCTTTCAGATAAATAAATAAATCTTTTTTAAAAAATGCTGCAAAGGACCCAAGCTCCAGGGGGCATCAGTCACCTGGGAGATAAAGAGAAAAGGCCCACTGGCCACATAACTGAGTCGGAAGCCATAGCCACCGCCAGGCCCAGGGTACAGGAGGCACCGGCAGGAGCCAGGAGGGAGTGGAGGCTCGGCGGCATCTTCAAGGCACGCATCCTCGGACTCAACCAGAGCAGCCACGTGGGTGTCCTGGGTGGCGGCGATGGCCTCTGTGTGCTCCAAGAAGAGGAGTGGGGAGAGGCGCACCTGGAGGGCCAGAGCGAGCGCACCTGTGGCACCTGCGCCTCGCTCCTGGCTTCCCCCTCCCTAGCCCTGGCCCTCAGCACGCACCATTCTGAAGAAGCGGTCAGCCTCAGGGTCGACGACGACGAGAGAGACACAAGCGCCCTGTGCCCGGATCCTGGACACTGTCTCCTCGTGGCCCAGCCCCTCCACGCTCTCCCCAGCCACAGCCACCAGCCGGTCCCCAGCCTGCATCCCGGCCTTCTCGGCAGGCAGTCCTGGGTCCACCTCCCACAGGAACTGCCCTAGGGCAGAGACATCCTCACTGCTCCCCCCACTCACACTCAGTTCTACCCCAAGCCACCACAGGCATGCACACGGGGGGCGGGGAATACACACTTGTGGGGCCGCCCCAGGTTCACCTGCCCTCCCCACCCCCAGGACTTCCACTCACCAAGGCGACCATCAAGGCCCCTCTCCTCCCGGAGCAGGAACCCGAAGCCCTGAGGCCCTTTCTCCAGCTGCAGACATCGGGGCCTGGTAGGCAGTGCCCAGCCCTCTGCCAGGGGGGCAGCCAGGGGCATTCCCAGCTGGCGACACTGCTCCTCCACCTCTGGCCCTGCCACCAGCAGGGTCACTTGCTCTCCACTCTGCCAAAGCTGTAGGGACCCAGCAGGGCATCAGTATCTACTTCCTGGGTAGGGAGTGGAGAGGTGGGCACCTCCTCCCAGCATACCTCCCCAGGCACGAGGGGGAGGGAAGGATGGTGACCAGGTAGGAGGTCCCATCAGGAGATTCCGTGCATGGGGGAGGAGTCTGCTTAAGGCAAGGGGCAGTGGCAGCCATACCTTCCTGCTGAGTTGGCTGTGAGTGAACTTCTCCACACTGATCCCGTCCACTTCCAGCAGCCGGGCCCCAGGGGGCACCCCTGCACGCTCAGCCGCTCCTCCAGCACACAGCACCAGCCAGAAAGGGCCCCGATGGCCTGGGAGCAGAGCGGGAAAACTAGCAAGTTGCAGCCTGCCACCCCCACCTCCACCACAACTGCCCCGCCCAGCCCAGCCTCTAAGCTCACCGTGGGTGACACTGAAGCCAAAGCCACCCTCATCTTTCACTACGTGGCACAGCCGTGGTCGGACCTGGGGGCCCAGGGCAGGACAGAGGTGGGCGTCGTCCCCATGCTGAGCTCGGGCCACATCATGCACGTGTCGAGCCACAACCGTCAGCAGCACCCGAGGGCCGCTGGCCCGGATGCAGCGCACCACCTAGTGGAGGGCATGGGAGGAAGTGTGGGCTGCCCCCGGGAACCTGGGTGTTCACCATGGGAACCAGCTCTCTAGAGGCCTCCACACAACCCCTCTGACCCTGATGCTCCTAAACCCCAGGCTGTGGCTGTGGGGCCCAGGAGGTGCCAGCCCAGCCTCACCTTTGCATAGTCTTCATGTTCCACGACGTCATTGTTCACCGCCAGAATCCGGTCCCCTTCCTGGAGACCCTGGCGCTGGGCAGAGCTGCCTGGGTCCACCCTGCACACCACATGCCCAGCCCTGCCCGCCTCCTGCTGCAGGTGGAAGCCAAAACTCCCGCCCTCCTCTCTGCTCAGCAGGCAGAAGCGAGGCCGTTCCAGGCTCCAGGGATCTGGAAGGGGAGGGAATGGGGGGGGCAGGAGGAAAGGGGGAGAGGAGGAGGCGTGGCCCAAGTATAGGTGCACCGCGTGCCTGGCAGCCCCGCCTCCTGATGGGGCACGAGGTGGGCTCCCACCCGGTTAGGGGACGTGCAGGGGAAACCCTGGCCCACTCCGGCCTCCACCCAGTTACTGCCAACCACGGCTATCACCGTGACAGTGAGTGGTTACCAAGGAGATGAGAGGCTGTGAGGAGCTGTGATGGCTCCGGGAAAGGGGGGCGGTTGCCAGGGGGAGGGGATTACCAGAGGGGTCTCGGTCTTCAGCCAGGGAGAGGACAGGATTATCAATGCCCAGCTTTGGATTAAACTTAAACTTCCTGCAAGGAGGCAGGGGGAGGAGGTAGGAGGAGCTGGCGCTGCACGCAGGTTCCAGGCCGTACTCAGGTGCTAACGGCAACACAACAGCGTCCTGCCTTCGCTGCCTTCCCCACCTTGCCCCCGCCCTGGTGGCACTTACAGGGCTGCTGTGTCCTGAAGATCTGCGGGGCGAGGAAGTGGGTGAGGAGAGGCGTATTCCCACCCCACCCCCCAGACGTCCCTTCTGTGGTCAGGAACTGAAAGGAAGTAGGGGAAGCCCCAAACTCAGGACTCACCCCTCCATTTCAATACGGAAGGGTTTTCCTTCTCCCTGATGTCATACCCACAAGGGCATTGTGGCTCCGCCTCCCCACCCACCGCCCCCCCAAATCCTGGGAACATAAATCTGAGCATATCAGTACAGGGTGTGGGCCAGGAAGACAGCTGTGTCAGCGCCTTTCTTTTCTCCTAACTTCTCTTTGCCCCAGGGCTTCAAGTCCCAACATCAAGGGTGCCCGGGTCCCAAAACCTCAGCCTCCGTCTCTGCCCCCAGACTGCCCCCAAGTCCCCCTCCGGAGGATTCCTCACGGCCGCGTACCTGCAGCTGCCTTCATGGTTGGACCAGTCGCCCAGTGCTCAGAGCAGGGACAAGGTCCATTTCAACCAGCTGACCCTCCCACTCACCCCCTCCCAGGTCCCGCCTCCTTGAAGACGCTGCCTGGGAAGCAGTGGGGTAATGGTTAACGGGGAGGAAGAGTCTTATCCCCTGGGGAAGTGTGCGTGCCCTTCCTGCTGCTGTTTCTGGGCCCTAGCTGTCTTCGGAGCCCTGCAGCGGTCCGGGAGCCTCTCTGGGAAAGACAGGCAGGTTGCTGGTCACTGGCATTCAGCAGAGGGTAAGTATGAAAAGAGTGATGGGCCGGAGCCTGCAACACTGCCAACTCATGTGGATGGTGGTTCAAGTCCCGGCTGTTCCACTTCTGATCCAACTCCCTGCTAATGCACCTTGGAAAGCAGCAGAAGGTGGTCTAAGTACTTGGGCCTCTACACTCAAGCGGGAGACCCAGAAGAAGCTCCTGGCTTCAGCCTGGCCAGCCCTGGCTGTTGCGGTCATTTGGGATTGATCCACCAAATGGAACAGCTCTGTATTTCTCTGTCAGTAACTCTGCCTCTCAAAGAAGTAAATAATCTTAAAAAAAAAAAAAAAAAAAAAAAAAAAAAAAAAAAAAGGCACAATAGTGTAGCCAATCCCGATCCTAATATCTTGTTCATGGGGCCCTCCAGTCCCCTCTGCCTCTGGTCCCAGTGCCCAGGAACCACTTGCAACACAAAGTAGCCCCAGTAGTTTAACCAGAATGACCCAGAACAGTGCCCTTTCTCAGAAGCCCCAGCCAAGGAAGAGAAGGCACGGGAAGTGGAAGACACACGGCTTTTTACTAGCAGCGAGCTGGCTACACCTGCCCTGGGCAACATCAGTACCATGAGGGCGGAGGGGGAGCACCAGTGTGTGAGCACCAACAGTGTCCACAGAGGGGCAAGAGGCAGGCCCAGGCCCTCCCAACACCCCGGGCATGGCCAATGTAAGAAGTATGGCCCAATCAGAGGCTCCCTGAGAGGAGGGAGAGAGACAAGCTTTGGTGGCAGTGCCACGGGGCAATCAAGCCACCCTAAAGGGAGAGGAGGCATGTGCAGCTCCAAGCCAAGCCATCAAGACTTGGGGGCACTGACTGGGCAGCTCCCAGGAGGGCAGCTGGCCTAGCTCTGCCCATTCCTTTGCCTCCAGCCTTGAAGGGCTCCTTCTAGAAGGGGTGGTCCAAGCCAGGAGGCCACAGAGGGAAGGGGTTCGGGGCCAGTGGTCACAAGCTGGGGTGCCTGCTGGCACTGGCGCTCAGCTTCCGGGGGCTCCCAGCTGCTCCACAAGGGCTCTGACCTCGCCCTGCACCCGCAGCAGCTGGGCCTTGCGCCAAGGATTGAGGGTGGCCCCGCGGCTGTCTTCTAGATCCCGCAGCAGCAGCTCGAGGTGGCGCCGGACCCGGGCCCGATCCCAGCTGTTGAGGTTCCGCTGGACTTCGCTGAGGATCACGGACCAGTACTCAGACACTGCCGTCCCCTCTGTCAGAGAAGCCACCACCCGGGCGCCGCCTCCAGCAGCAGCCCCCAGGTCCCGCAGGACCTGGCGGCCCTCGGAGCTCAGCTCGTTGAAGTAGAGGCTAGCAGGAGAGAGAGGAGTGGGTGCTATTCAGCGGGGCTCCGAATCGGAGGGCCTCAGGGCAATGGGCACCACAACCCCCATCCCGCCTGCGGAATGCAGCAGGCCATGGTGTGCAGTGAGCCAGACGGGTGGGTGCTCACCACCATGGGAGGCAGGGAATAGCGTGGGAATTCAGAGGGACCAGGGATGGGGAAACAGTAGCAGGGAATCAGGGCAGGGGCAGGACCAGTCCCAAAGCAGGTGGGTCGGCTAACAAGCGACAATCAGGAGCCGGAGGAGAGGACAGGCACCAGGCCCAGGGCCGCTCCCTGGACAGAAAAAGCCCAGTGGAGAAAGGGAAGGAGGATTCAGCGTGTGGGGACGATGGGACCAGGGACAGGACTCACTGTAGCAGCTCCAGGGACGGGTGCTCCCGGGCAGCCTTGGCCAGGGCCAGGGCCGCGGTGTCGCCAGCGCCATTGTAGGCCACGTTCAGCTCCTGCAGCTGCTGGTTTCTATCCAGCTGGGCAGCCAGCAGCTCCAGGCCCTCATCTCCAAGGCCGGTGTGCAGCAGGGACAGGTGTGTCAGCGAAGTGTTTCCCGCCAGCCCCTCCATGAGCAGGGCGACACCTGCAGCTGTCAGCGGGTTGTTGGACAGCCTATGGCCACAAACAACCCAATGTTAGGAGGACCCGTGGCGGACGGCCTGGGTTGAGCACCAGGACTTGGCCGGAGGAGCCACGGCATGGGGCAGAGGAGCTGGGACATAGAAATGCAGGCCCAGGAGAAGGAGGTGGAGAGACAGGGGGTGCAGAGGAGGGAGAATGTGGAAGAAACTGACCACTCCCTTCCTCCTCTTCTTCCTCTCCCCTTCCTCATCATTACTATTTCCCTTCTGCTTTGTTTTTTTGTTTGTTTGTTTGTTTTTGTTGTTTTTTTTAAAAAGGCAGAGAGAGAGAGAGAGAGAGAGAGGTATCCTATCTGCTGATTCAGTCCCCAAATCCGCACAACAGTTAGGACTGAGTCAGGCCAAAGTAGGGAGCCAGAAACTCATCATCTGCTGCCTCCCAGGAGCCAGAGCCAGGAACAAAACCCACCCACTGGGTTGGGGCCGGTGCTGTGCCACAGTGGGTTAAAGCCCTGGCCTGCAGCACCATATGGGCACTGGTTCGAATCCCAGCTGCTCCACTTCTGATCCAGCTCCCTGCTAATGTTCCTGAGAAAGCAGCAGAAGATGGCCCAAGTGCTTGGGCTCCTTTGCCCCCTCCCCAGCCCCTGTCCTCTCTCCCTCTGGCTCCCCTTCCTTCTCTCCCTTCTTCCTTTCTCCCTCCTCATCTGCCTCCCCTTACTTCAACCAGAAACTAGAACCCAGGTGTTTGGGTTCCTAGGACATCAGCCAACACCCGGAGCATCTCCCGAGAGCCGGCATCTGGGTCAGCCGGGGGAGGCTACGGGGAAAATCCTGGGAGGGGGCAGTGGCCCTGTTACCAGGCAAGCGGCCTAGGTGGGACTCACCCTCTCCCCTGCCCGCCCGAGGCTGGCTTTAGCCATGTGAGAGACTTCTCAGCACCTGTTACTGGTGGCATCCCCTGCACTGCTGCTTATAACGGACTAGGAGTTGGCAGCAAGGCAGAGCTGAGTCCCAGCCCCTGTACGATACAGTGGGCCTGTGACAGGCGCATGGTGAGGCAGGGAGCTCACCCTTGTCCTTAGCTGGCCATCATGGTGGCCAAAGCCTCCCGCCGGCACTCACCGCAGCGTGCTGATTTGGCACTGTTCGTCCAGCAGCAGGTCTCGGAGGTCCCTGCAGGCGTCGGGGCCCAGGCTGTTGAGTTGCAGGCTGGAGTGGCAGGTGGCAGGGGGAGGTGAGAGGCCGAGGACACAGTTCAGCAAGGAGCCTGCCCATCTACCACGCCCTCTCCTCACCAGCCTGCCTTGCAGTCCACACCTGTCCCACCTCCCACTGCCGCTCCCCCCACCTCTACCCACGCCAGACCTTTGAGAGGTGGGACCTGCTTCACGGGGCTGAGGTCCCCTCAGAGGGGATTAATGCCGGTCTCCGAGAGTGGGCTGTCATAAAGCAGGACCACCCCGTGCGTGTGGCCTCCTCCACACACAGCTGTCCCCTCTTCTGCTCCTCTGTCATGCGGTGATGCGGCCACAGGGACCCTTACCAGAGGCCAAACCAAGGGGCCCACCTGTTCCCAGACTCCTGCCTCTAACACTGGGAGCTCAGTGAGCCTTTTTCCTTTAGAAAGTACCCAGGCTAAGGTATTTTGCTCTAGCAACAGCAGAGGGGCCAACACACACCTGCTGGTTCTTTCTCAGTGCCTTTGGTTCCCCAGCACCCTCCCTTGCCACCCCTTCACCTCCAACCCTCTCCCCTCTCCACGCCCATGCACGGAACGGGTCCTCACCCCAGCTTCCGGGCACGCAGCAAGACGGGCCTGAGTGTGCGCAGCCCGGCAGGGTCCAGCTGGCAGGAGGCCAAGTTCACCTCGTCCAGGGCATGCCTCCCGCTGCCCAGCACAGCCGCCACCACCGTGCACTTGAGGGGTGTCATGCGCACCCCGGCCAGGTGGAGCTGGCGCAGGGAGCTGAGCACCTCCGCGGAGAAGCGCTGGTTCTGGAACTCGTAGTGGAAGAACAGGTGGTCAAGGAGCTCCGAGGGGGGCAGCGGCTGCCGGCCCAGCTTGTCCAGCTTCTTCTTGATGGCCTGAGTGTTCTCCAGGGCGTCCATGTTCTTGATGGGACAGCCGAGCTGAGCCAGCACGAGCCGGTTGTGCGCAGAGAGCAGCCCCCCCATGAACATGGGGAAGAGCTCAAAGACTTCATCCTCGGGGGGCTCGTCCGGGTGGCGCCGGGGGCCCTCCACGCCCAGGATGCTGGCGCCCATCTGGTCCAGAACGTCATCGTTGTGGTAGTCCTCCTCCCGAAACATCTCCAGCACCATGGCCTGGGCTACTGCCTCCCGGCTCTTCCCCACCACGCGGCCGAACACTCGCGGGGCCACCTGCAGAGGGAGCAGAACGGGGGACCCTGCAGCCTCCCGTGCAGGGGCTCAGCTTAAGGTCCAGACACGGCCCCCCCTGCCCCACCTCCCTGACAATGCACCGCTCAAGCTGTGTGATCTTATCACTCCCAGGGGAGAAACTTCTTTCTTTTTCCTAAACACCGCACACATGTTCAAGCCCGGGGGCGGTGGGACGGTCTCTGCAGAGATGGTGTGCGCAGCGTGAGCCTAGGCAGGCGCCATCAGAGCCACCACGACCTGCGCAGCACCTGTACGAGCCGGCGCCTGCCAGCCGCTGTGCCCTCTGCACAAGCCACTCACTATGCTCCTGTCCTCTTCTCCCTCAAAGCTCCAAGGTGCTGCCCCACGTTCTTCTCCTGGCTCATCCCACAGGGATCAGACAACATGCACCTGCCGAGACCTTATGATGCCCACAAGCCAGGCGCCCCCTTCACTTCCACAGCACGGGGCGGGGGGAGGGGGGGTGCTTTCTCCCCAGGCAGTCACATCGCCGTTCCTGCATCCAGGCCATGAGATCAGAAAGCACAGACAGCCATGGCTGGGCTCGCTGCTTCTTCCCCAGAATCCAGCACACTGCCCGGCACACAGCGGGCACTCGGATGTTCAGCGAGGCAGTGGACGCTGGGGCAGCCCTGGGATATCTCCTCCCGCCTTTGCCACCGTGCCTTCTGGCAGAGAACGGCGCACCTCCTCTCATGTCTGGGCTTTTTATACCTGTCCTGTGTGAGGTTCCTGCCAGGGGTGGGGGGGATGGTGTCCCTCCCGCCCCCAACACTAAGCTGGTTACAAGACCAGAGAGTGTCACGCTGAGAACAGTGCTCTGAGGGGCCCACCGTTGGCCACGGCCTCTCACGGCAACCCAGTCATCGCACCCCCAGAGGGAGTGTCCGCCCCAGGAGCTGGGATGCCACCTGAGGCATGGTGGGAGAAGGCCTGGCCAGCTGAGCCTCTTTCATTGTTTGACAAACAATTAAATTGCACGTCCTGTGTGCCAGGCCCTGGGGAGCAATCCATTTCATCCTCACCTTAGTCCAATGCCAAAGCTCTATTTTATTCCCATTTAACAGACAAGGAACCTGAGGCACAGAAAGGTCAGGTACCCTGTCCAAGGTCGCATGATTTTTTTTTTTTTTTTTTTGACAGGCAGAGTGGACAGTGAGAGAGAGAGAGACAGAGAGAAAGGTCTTCCTTTGCCGTTGGTTCACCCTCCAATGGCCACCGCGGCCGGCGCGCTGTGGCCAGCGCACCGCGCTGATCCGATGGCAGGAGCCAGGAGCCAGGTGCTTTTCCTGGTCTCCCATGGGGTGCAGGGCCCAAGCACCTGGGCCATCCTCCACTGCACTCCCTGGCCACAACAGAGAGCTGGCCTGGAAGAGGAGCAACCGGGACAGAATCCGGCACCCCGACCGGGACTAGAACCCGGTGTGCCGGCGCCGCTAGGCGGAGGATTAGCCTAGTGAGCCGCGGCGCCGGCCAAGGTCGCATGATTAATGAGTGGCACAGCCTGCATCTGAACCCGAGTAGCTGGGCTACTTAGCCTCCGTTCACAACCCTATACCTTGGTGCCTATAGAAAAGGGAAACTTGGAATTCTGCCCGCACAGACCAGGGTTCTGCCTCCTCAGGACCAGCTCCCAGGCAAGAGCAGGCTCACCTGGCAAGACACCGCTGCCAACATCGGTCCAGTTTGGTGGAGAGAGCCCAGGATTCAGAATCCTACACCCTGGGATCCTAGCCTGACTATTCCACTTACTACCTGCATGACCTAGAACAGTTCCTCTGCCTTTTTTTTTTTTTTTTTAAGAGTTACAGAGAGAGGTAGAGATAGAGAGAGAGGTCTTCCATCCACTGGTTCACTCCCCAATTGGCAGCTGGAGCTGTGCCAATCCAAAGCCAGGAGCCAGGAGCCTCTTCCGGGTCTCCCATGCAGGTGCAGGGGCCCAAGCACTTGGGTCATCTTCCACTGCTTTCTCAGGCCATAGCAGAGAGCTGGATCAGAAGAGGAACAGCTGGGACTAGAACCAGCACTAGATGCCAGTGCTTCAGGCCAGGGCGTTAACCCGCTGCGCCACAGCACCAGCCCCATACCTCCGCCTTTCTAAGTCTCTGTCGCCTCATCTATAAAGGGCATCATAACAGCATCTCATGCCCAGGGCTGCTTTGAGAAACAAAAGGATGGGCTCTGATGAAGCACCTGGAAGACATCAGCAGACAGGACTCCTCCGTCCCCAAGGAGCTGCCACATCCACCCAGCTCCCCGCCCAGTCCCCACGCCTGTAATTTGGTTTCTGGAGCGGCTCTTCGTCCAGGATGGACTGTCCTAAGCCAATTCCAGTGCCATCATCCATCGTCCCTGGGTAAATTAATCAAATGACCTCTGCTTTATAAGCCTGTCCCTGGTGATATCATCAGGATGAGTCATCACGCGCAGTCTAATCGCCTGTGTAGGGACAGATACAATCGAGTTTCTGGACCTGTGGAGCAGACGACAGGCCCTGGACCGTGGTGACCCCTGCTCCCAGCCACAAAGACTGGACGGAGAGACGCACAAAGGACACCGTGCTTAGGGATCTGCCTGATTGTCACTAAGGTGCCTGTGCCCTCAGCTCCCCTCCTAGCCTCCAAAGCTTCTCCAGCCTTGTGGTTTCTCTCTCCCCATTCCTTATGCCCCATTCCTGCTAAAAGCCAAACGGCCCAGGGGCCGGCACTATGGCATAGTAGGCTAAGCCAACACCTTCAGTGCCAGCAGTTCGAGTCCCGGCTGCTCCACTTCCAATCCAGCTCTCTGCTGTGGCCTGGGAAAGCAGAGAAGATGGCCCAAGTCCTTGGGCACCTGCACCCACGTGGGAGACCTGGAGGAAGCTCCTGGCTCCTGGCTTCAGATCAGCGCAGCTCTGGCCGTTGTGGCCATTTAGGGAGTAAAGCCACAGATGGAAGACCTTACTCTCTGCCCCTCCCTCTCTCTGTACCTGTCAAATAAATAAATAAAATCTTAAAAAAAAAAAAAAAAAAAAAAAACAGCCAAATGGCCCAGAGCTGAAACCAGAGCCAAGGGGAAGATTCACCTCCAGAAAGAGCTGTTTGCTTCTGGTAGGGGGCAGGTGGGCAGCAGCCCGGGGTCCTGGGGAGGGAAGGGGCCGGGGCGGGGCGGGGGGAACCCCGGGGCTAGGGACTACCTTGAGCAAGTTGAAGAGCACGGGCAGAATCCGCAGCGGCAGCAGCTTGGTCACAATGCCCAGCACCAGGCTGACGTCCTCCCCGACACGGCCCACGAGCTCGGCCACTTCCTTGCCCACCCGCTGCAGGGTGGTCTTGCGCAGCCCCAGCACGATGTAGAGGGCGGCCAGGTATTCTTGCATGGCGGGCACAGTGAACACGAACGAGCCCAGGTGCCCCGGCTCCACACACGGGGCCAGGAAGAACCTCAGGGCATCCCGGCGGAAGACGTGGAGCAGCTGGAACTCCTCTTCCGTCCTGATGCCGGCTTCCAGGCAGCCCCGGACGTCCTCCTCCGAGAAGTAGGTCTTGCGAGAGGACACGCCCTCGTAGGCCAGCTTGCCCATGGTTCGCGCTGCATAGGCCATCAGGGACAGATTGGAGGGGTCGGTGCTGTCCAGCGTCTCCCCACTGAAGTTGAGGCGCAAGAAGCTGGTGTAGATGCTGGTGAGGGTCTGGCCGGGAGGCGTAGGCGCATGCAGGAAGTGTAAGGTGGCACAGACGAGCCAGCAATAGGAGGGCAGGAAGCAGGCGGCGGCGATCTGGTGGTGGCCCTCCAGGTTCCGCGAGAGCATCTGCACCAGGTTGTCGCGCTGAGCGGGCGTGGCTGAGACACCGGCTCCCCCCGCGCCGTGCCCACAGTCCGGCTGGTTGAGGCGGAGCTGGAAGTAGAGCTTCTGCAGGTTGGTATCAGAGAAGCCGCAGATCTCTCCGTAGCGGCCCACGTACTTGCTGGGGATGCGGCCGACGGCAGAGGGCCGTGTGGTCACCAGGATGCTCGCCTGGGAAGGACACGACTGAGGGCTAAGAAAGACCCTACCGTCCTGACTGCCTCCATCCCCCCCCCCCCCCCCGCCCAAAGACAGTCTCCCAGGATGAGGAGGCGGATGACGACACTCATAACTAACACTTGCTGAGCCCCGGCTCTGATCTGCAGTATCTCATTTCATCAGGACAACTCAAGGAGAAAAGGGAACCGTAGCCTGGAGGGGACAGGATCACTTGGGGCCACAGCTGGGAAGTGAACAGGTCAGGATTTGAACTAACACAAGGCCCAACTCTCTACCCATCAAACATGCAGGCCCAGGACCCCAACCCCCTCCCCCATGGCGAGTGCAAGGGCAGCAGGGGTGGGGCAGGGGCCGCCCACCTCGGGGAGCATGTATTTGCGTAGCAGGTTGACGATGACAGCAGCCGGTGCCCCCGGCTCCTGGGGGTCACTACAAAGCCCTGTGCCCGCCAGCCGGAAGTCGAGGTTGAGCCGCTCCAGGCCATGGAGCACAAACAGCAGGCGAGACCCGGCTGCAGCCATCAGGGGCAGAATCTCCTTCAGGGGCGCGTAGCGCTGGGCCACCAGTTGGCACAAGGAGGCTGGGGCAGGGCCCAGGGACGACAGGTCCTCACAGGAGAAGGGGATGAGCAGCTCGAAGGCTGGCAGCCGCCCGTAACACCAATCCAGAACCATCTTGCGCACCAGCGTGCTCTTGCCTGTGCCCACCGTGCCATAGAGCACCACAGTCTGTACCCGGCGCCCGCAGGCATCTGGCTCAAAGAGCTGAGACAGGGCGAGCGGCGGGGGCCCCGGTAGCAGCGGCTGCTGCTCCACGGCCAGCTCGGCAGGTGGACGCAGGAGCTCATCGGGGGTGCTCTCACGGATCACAGGGTCAACGTGAACTGTGTCCAGCGCAAAGGTTGGCCCAAACTGACGTTCCTCCCTGGGCAGCCGGCTGAACCACTCAGCCAGGTTCCGGCGGTGCCGCTGGATGGCCTCTGAGAGGGGAGGCCAGGAACACAGGTCAGGAAAAAGGGCCTGGAGATGCCAGAGCGCAGCATGGGCGGCGTGTGGGTAGCGTCGGACAGGCTGGAGCCCAGGGCAGGCTGGAGCCCAGGAAAGACAGCCTGTCCAGAAAGCTTGGGGTCCCCATGGCAGGAAGCGGGCAGCCACTGGGTGCACAATGCTGAGCCTGGGCTGGCTGGCTGGCTTTGTGACTATCTGTGTGTGGTTTCCACCTGGCTTCTGGGCCCCAGCTTGTTGAAGAGAGGACAGTGTGTGTCTCTAGGGGCTCTGTACCTACCGGGTGTGCCTGGCCTGGGTGTTGAAGGAAGGCTGCCCAGACAGATGGAAGACAAAGTGCAGAGAGGGAGGGACACAGGCGGGCGATGGCAGTGGACCCTCTATGTCTCCCTCATCCCACTTCTCCTTCCAGGCCCCTTCCTCCCCATTCCCCTGACCCCCAGGAACCCAGCCAGTCCCTTTACCAGCTGCTGAGACGCTCCTGAACAGCTGTCCGTGCCTCCCTGGTGGGGGAGCACTGTCAGCTGAGCTCCCACGGTGGCGTGCAAAGGCCCTGGGGAGTGAGGAGCGAGGACAAGGTAAGGTGTGAACAGCTCAGCCCCTGCATGGGCTCTGATTTGCAGCTTCCTGAGGTGCAGGCCTGCCACTGGACAGCCTAGGCAAGGCCTGGTCTGACTCTCGGAGCCGTCCCAGACCCTGAGGCCTTGCCCCTAGCCCATCAGCCCACTGCTGCCTGCCTGGAACTCAGGCCGGCCGCTGCCAGACTGCCCACTTCCCACAGGTGTCCCCCCACCCCGACCACTGGGACATAGACTCCAACTTCCTCTCTGGCTGGGAGCTACTGTGTATCCTCCCCACCCCTCCCTGAGGGGATCAAGTTAGTGTCAAGGCCTGACCCTTCCCAGCATCCTCTGCTGTGACCAGAAGCATCCTAAGGTATGAGAACCAGGCCTCACCTAGGGGGCGCAAGGGGGTGCTCCCCTTTAAGGGGCCAGCTCCGGCGGACCAGGGAGGAGGTACAATCGCCTACAAAGAGAAGGAAGAAATGACATCTCCAGATCTCAGCCACATTTCCCCAAGTCCACAACTCCCGCCTCCATTATCTGCTCTCCCAGCAGCACGCACCACCCTTTGTAGCAGCAGTTGTGCAACTTCATGCCCCATTACATGATCACTTGGTTAGCAGGCTTCCCTTCCCCTCCATGAGAGCAAGGATCACATCCAGTTTTGTTCATAACGATAGATCTAGAACTTAACACAGGGTGTGGCACATGGAGGACACGTAGGAAACATTTGTTAAATGTGAAAGGAGGTCGGACACATGTTCCTGGACTGATACAGATGCAAGATACCCTCCAAGATCACCTCGTCCAGCTGCTCTTATTTTAGAATGAAAAAAGGAAGTTGAGCTGTGCCCAAGGTCACCAGTAAGACGCACGGGGCCCAGACTCATGCACCTGGCGTCTAGATCCTTGCTCTCTTGGAAGGGAAAAGCCAACAGGAGAGGCAGAAACAGAAATCACTATTTCCTGCTCACCTGGGGGTGGTGGTGATCTTCCCAGACCAGAGCCCCAGTAGGCCCTGGGCAAATGGCGGCCCCATCTCATTCTGGGAGAGAAGCCAGACGGCCTTAGTGCCACCCTCTATCCTGCTCTCTGCAAGAAGAATAGTGAGACTGGATGATCACCACTGCCCACCCCAGCCCCACGCCAGGAGTCCCTAGGAGAGGGCCCGCTCCTCCCGGACACCAGCACCGCCCAGCCCTGGCCTGGCCTACCCCCCCCCCCCCCCCGCCGCCAGCTCGTCCCGTGCTCTCTCGCCACCTCTCGCTGCTTCCCCCTAAGGCTTCACAAATGTGTTCTCCTGAGCTCCAGCCTCCTAAATGCTTTATTCAGCTGCCCCCCACCCCCACCCCGGCTGCCAGCGAGCTCCTGTGTTCCTTTCCAGTGGCTCTTCTGCAGCCTAGATTTCCTAGGTTTAATTATGCACTCCCCTCTGCCTTTGCCCCTAGCTATCAAGTCCTCTAGGTCCAGTTTTAATGGCCGTCTCATTTTATCTTCGCTGTGACTTTCATGTAAGCTGCCTTTGAGGCTGGCATAAATAATAAATACGCGACTGAGCGCCCTTCCCAGCCGACACCTCCTTATGGGTAGGCTGCCAGTGCCTCCCACCAACCCTGCAACAATGAACTCTTCGCTCCCCCTCCCCTTTAGTCACTTGGCTGCAAATCCTCCCAGCCACAGGATTTACGGTAGACCCTGTTCTGTCCCTTCAAGCAATGGAAAGAACCCTACAAATCCCCTTCCCACACACTGCTCTGGCCTCTGCATGTCATCCCAGACTTCACTCAGCCAACCTCAGGACATGGAGGGGAGGGACAGGTGCCCACCTCCCGCTCCAGGCTCTCTGCTTCAGGCTCAGTGCAACCCAGCACCAATCGCCTTCCTAATTTTTAATTTATTTTTATTTTTACTGTATTTGAAAAGCAGAGATACAAAGACAGAGACCCTCCCTCCAGTGGTTCACACCCCAAATGCCCACAACAGCCAGGGCTGGACAAGCCCGAAGCCGGGAGCACGGAACACATTCCATGTCTCCCAATTGGGTGGCATGGGCCCAAGTGCCGGAGCCGTTACTTGCCACCTCCCAGACTGCACACCAGCAGGAAGCTGGGACTCCAAAGTGCATCCAAGACCCTGGACCCAGGCACTCCTAGGAGGGATGCAGGAGTCCCAGGCAGGGGCTTAACCCTTGTGCCCAATGCCAGTGCCATAGGCACTTCTCCAAACCCCAGGTTACCAACAGCCCAAACTCCTAACCCACACAGGCAATTTTCCTGAGTTTGCTTCCCATGGGCACCTCAGTCCCCAGGCTCCAGGGGTACTTGCTCTCGCCTTCTCTGTCAGAATCCTACCCAATCTTCTAGGATCCTTCGCTCCTGAGCCCTCTGAGCTCCTGCTAGGGGAGGTTACATACAGGGCGAGTTGGCTGCACCGGGCCACACCTGCCTGCGCTGTGCCAAGCAGGGCAGGAGTCCCAGAGGCTGGGGAAGGGTTAAGAGAAGACCCCGAGGGAGCTGGGGCAGCTCAGGAAATAACCCAGATCCAGGGCCACAGTCAAGATGATCACCCCAGTAAGAAAAGCCGGCGCACAGCAGGGAACCTACTGGGCCGGCCAGTGGGTCCCAAACAGCTCTCCTCGTTTCCACTGGTCTCGGGCACCAAGGTGGGGAAGCTGCCAGAATGCCCACCACTCAGCGGCCCAGCCCGGTCCTCCTGGTCGCGAGGCGCCGGACCAGCGCCGCTTCCCCGCCCAGCCCCCGCCCGGCGCGGCCAGGCCTTTACCGCGCCCCGGGCGGCCGGCGTCTCCCGCGGCCTCCCGGAGTCCCCGGCTCGCTGGGAGCGGCGCTTCCCGGCCGCTCGGCCCGCCTGCACGGAGCCCGCCCCGGCAGCGGGTGCGGGAAGGGACGAGCCAAGGCGCTCTACCGGGAAAAGGAGGAGACCAGAGCCGGCCGGGTGCCCCGGAGCAGGCGCGGGGCGGGCACTGGCCCCCGACCCGCCCCTTACGTGGGCGCAGCCCTGGGTCCCCGCCGGCCCTGCCGCTCGTACTGCCCCCTGCAGGTCCCCAAGCGCCACTCACACCCCGTGACCTCACTGAGCACCTCCGGGTTTGCTGGGCGACAGATGCCCATGGTACAGAGGGACGCTGAAGCCCTGGAGGGCGCCACGACCTGAGCCGCTGCCCCACGCAGGAAGCGGACGGCCTCACAGCCCGCCCTCTCTCCGGAGGCACCGGGCGCTCCCCAGGGCGCCCTCCCCTCTGTCACTCTTCACCCGCTCCCCCAGCCTACCTCTAGACGGAGACCGGGTCCTCTCTTATGGGCCTGGTCCTCTTCAGACCCCCGCCCTCCGTGTGTGGCCGGAAGGCCGGGGGCTTGAGTAAGGCTCCCATCCCAACCTGCCCTTCCTGTCTAAGGCTCAGTCACCACCCAGCCTGGGGGCTTCCGGGTCCCACCCTTATCACTGTGCTTGCACACAAGGAACACCCAGGGCTCACCTGACCTGGCCGAGGAGGAGCCACCCACCACCCCCAGCCAGGGTGCACCTCCACACCAAACCTCGGTGTGCCCAGTGCACGGAACAGGTGCAAGGGCTTTGTGAACCCTGCCCTCCATCTGGATGAGAAACAACCTTGATGTTTCATTGAGACGTTTGCTCATTCATTGAAAGCGAGGTATCAGGCTAGGCCTGAGCACCCTCCCAGGCCCAGCCCAGACCTAGGCAGCGGACTGGCAACCAGAGCAGGCATGCAGAGACCCGACCGCAGCGGCTCCCTTCCGGCGGGACCAACCACCGCATTTACACAGGATGCGCCGGAACTGGTTGGTAAAGCAAGACCGGAAGAGGAAGCTTCCAGCGGCATCTGGCAGAGGAGGTGACATGTGAGCTGGACGTTACAGAAAAATGTCAGGAAAGGGCAGAGCACTCCAAGCAACGGGAACACTGGCAATTTGCATTTTAAGATAATTTCTTAAGAGGAAGGACATGGAAGGGGAGGGCACATAAAGCTGGCCGCCAACTGTGGGCTCCGGGGTGACACTGGGGGCCAGGGAGACTCCTCTAGCTTCAGTCCCCCTGCCTAACCATGCGAAGCAAAGGGTCATCAGGCTGCAGGCACTGGACCCAGCTCAGAGAGAGCTGCCCCCTCCTCCCACAGGCTGGACAGCCGTGTTTCATTAATAACATGTAATTTGGCCTCTGTGAGTCATGACCTGCACATCTGACTTCAGAGCCGCGGCGTGAGTGCTGCCCTCCAGCACCGGCCCTGACCCAGAGGAGGTGGCTGCGTTCAGGCAGGTCGGAGCCCATTTCTGAACACGCTGGGAGCAGGTTCCCGGGAATCGCGGGTGGAGTGGCAGGGTCACGGGACAAGAGCACAGGACCGTGAGAGCATGCTCAGTCATGTCTCCACGCCTCATTCCCTTCTCTGCAAAAGCAGAAAATGGCAGTGCTCATCCTAGCGGACTCGCGGGGTTGCTGTAGGGATTAAAAGTGCTCCCTTTGGCTAATCCTCCACCTGCGGCGCCGGCACACCAGGTTCTAGTCCTGGTCGGGCGCCAGCACACCAGGTTCTAGTCCTGGTCGGGCGCCAGATTCTATCCCGGTGCCCCTCTTCCAGGCCAGCTTTCTGCTGTGGCCCAGGAGTGCAGTGGAGGATGGCCCAAGTGCTTGGGCCCTGCACTCCATGGGAGACCAGAAGCACCTGGCTCCTGCCTTCGGATCAGCGTGGTGTACTGGCCGCGGCGGCCATTGGAGGGTGAACCAACAGTAAAGGAAGACCTTTCTCTCTATCTCTGTCTCTCACTGTCCACTCTGCCTGTCAAAAAAAAAAAAAAAAAAAAAAGTGCTCCCTTTGGAAATACGTGAGCCACTCTACGTGTGTTCTCTGTGCCCTTGCCGGCTCTGGAATGTTCATTGCCTTTAGACCAGGGCAAGGGCGGGAGGGCCACTTATAAATGTGTGAATTTGGGGCTGGCGCTGTGGCACAGCAGGTTAAGCTGCTGCGTGAGATGCTGGCATCCCATATGGGCACCTGTTCAAGTTGGGCTGCTCTACTTCCAATCCAGCTCCCTGCTAATGTACCTAGGAAAGCAGCAGAAGATACCCCAAGTGCTTGCCCTGCATCCACGTGGGAGACTCTGGATGGAGCTCCTGGCTCCTGGCTCCAGCCTTGGCCCAGCCTGGGCTGTTGCAGCCATCTGGGGGGTGAACCAGCAGATCCCTCTGTCTCTCCTTCTTTCTAACACTGCCTTTCAAATAAATGTCTTTCTTTACAAAAAAAAAAAAAAAGTATGTGTGCATTTTAAATGTTTATCCTTTCCCAGAGACCCCTCCGTACCCAGATTGGATACCAGCCCAGCCCAGGGAACTTGGCTCTGCCTGCACACAACCCCCGTGTTCCACACAGCTGGCAGGGTTGATTCCAGGCCCTTCCCTCAGCCCTTGATCTCTGGCCCAGGACCAAAGAGGAGGCAGCACTGAGCTATGTCCTGGGTCACCCTGCCACCCTCCCTCAAAAGCCCCTGGACGTTTGCATACCCCAGACTCCTGGCCGTCAAAGCCCCCGGCAGTCCTGGCAGCTGCTGGCTCGTCCTGGTAAGTGTGGCCCAGGGGGAAAGAGGAGGAGTAGGGAGGGGGAGAGCCAGAGTAAGCTCAGGAGGGCGCCACGACCTGAGCAGGCTGGCCCATGCAGGAAGCTGACGGCCTGCGTCTTCCTGCCTCACAGCCTGCCCCTTTCTCCCAGGGCACCGGGCGTTCCCAGGGCGTCCTCCCTTCTGTCCTGCCACTCCGGTCCTAGGGAGGAGGCTGCAAGGTCTTGCCTGTCCTCATCGTCCTCCTCTGTCCCATGGCACAACCAGGGCTCATGAGTGTTGGAGAGAGTTGTGCGTCTGACAGAAATACACCCTTGCAACAAACACTGGGCCCCGCACGCAGCGTGCACCCACACCATGAGCAAGAGTATTCTGGGGGGAAGTGTTTGTGCAGCCGTACAGTGCCCCTGGCACTTCCACATCTCATGGGGGGGTCCCTGGTTCAAGTCCCACCTCCACTTCTGATCTGACTTCTTGTTTTTTATTTTTATTTATTTATTGATTGATTGATTGACAGGCAGAGTGGACAGTGAGAGAGAGAGACAGAGAGAAAGGTCTTCCTTTGCCATTGGTTCACCCTCCAATAGCCGCTGCGGCCGGCGCACTGCGGCCGGCGCACCGTGCTGATCCGATGGCAGGAGCCAGGTACTTATCCTGGTCTCCCATGGGGTGCAGGGCCCAAGCACTTGGGCCATCCTCCACTGCACACCCGGGCCAGCCTGGAAGAGGGGCAACCGGGACAGAATCCGGCGCCCCGACCGGGACTAGAACCCGGTATGCCGGCGCCGCAAGGCGGAGGATTAGCCTAGTGAGCCGCGGCACCAGCTTGACTTCTTGTTAATGTGCATCGTAGGAGGCAGCAGTGATGGTTCAACGACTCAGGCCCCTGTCCCCCATGGGGGAGACCCAGACTGAGTTCCAAGCTTCGGGCTCCAGCCTAGTCTAGTCCAGCTGCTGCAGGCATTTGGGAAGTGAAACAACAGAGGGAAGATTTATCTCTTTCTGTCTCTCTGCCTTTCAAATAAAATTAAAGTATTAATTAATTAATTTTTGAAAGAATGAGAAGTCTGGAGGGAGAAGACCTGGTCTCCAGTTCTAGTTCCTCCTCCACTGAGAGCCTTTACCAAGTTCTTTAACTCAAGTCTCAATTCTGTTATGTATAAAATGGGTTTTCATGAGGGCTCATGCAGAGTTAGCATGGGACTCCTTTGAGATAACGAACATGAGCAGCTGTACGGTGGGAAGCGTATCACAAGATACACATTCACTATCTTGGCACCTACCTGGGACTCAGCAGCCCCTCCACAGATTTCTGAAAGCCTCCGGGATCCTGCCAAGTGCTTTGACCCCCACCCCCCTCACAGCCACAGCAGCAGGTGGCAGAGCCACATTTGCACACTGCATACTGTATAAATATAGGTTTTATTAATAATGGGTGAAATCCCACAAATACAACTGGCATCTCTGTGTGAGGAGAAGAACCTGTGGCAGGGTGAGGGAGGGGAGAGAGGTCCTCTTACAGGTGTGAAGGGGAGCCCTGGACAGAGGGGAGATCAGAGGGCACCTGCACCTGCACCCACCAGGACAGTGAGCAGCTCGCTCTGCGTGTGTCTGCCACCTGGTGCTCAGGGCGTGCTGCTCTGATGCCCGTGGGCCACCTGCTGACGGCAAGGGCTGGAGAGACATGGACAGGACTCTGAATGAGCAGCAAGCGGCCAGGGAGGGGTGGGGGGATGAGAACGCCAGATTGGAGCACAAAAGGAAAGCCATGGGGTGATGGTGGCCAAGGCCAACGGATGCCCATGCTTGTGCTTGTGTTGGGTCCTGAACTCCAGGGAGCTAGCGCCCCATGCCACCCTTGGCTTGGGAGGAAGGAAAGATGGGGGGGAGGGAGGGGAGACACCTGCCGATCCTGGAGACACCTGGGCAGCACCAGCCTCCTCCTGAGAGTCTCCAAAGTGGGATCCCCGGGAGGAGCTTGGCACCGCCCTCCCTGCAGCGCCCGCCACTGCCACCACCGTGATGCCGCTGGCACTGGTCCTCCGAGCCGGAGGGAATGGCGAGTGTGGGGAGCTGAGATTGCCCGTTCACATGTGTGTGCCTGTGGCTCTGGAGAGGGGAGGGAGCCTCGTGAGACCCTGCTGTGGGGGCAGGTCTTCCCCCACTCACACCCAGAATAAAGTGCATTCTCCAGTTCCGCCGGCAGGTGGGACAGAAACACAGACGTTATTGCAGAGGTACCACCAGGCCCTACTCCCCAAAGGCAGGGGGCACAGGGAGCGGGGCGTCCCACGGCCCCAGGTCTCTCCAATCCTCAGGATTAGGAGTGCAGACCCAGACAGAAAATCCAGCTTCTGTCAGCAGATTGTCCAAATCAGCCAGGTTCTCGGGGAGGGGGAAAGGTGAGGAAGAGGAGGGAGAGACTTCCAGAGTCCTTCCCTGCTCCATTCCAACATCCAGAATGGGGCTTCCAGGGGGCCCCACCAGGGCCCAGCCCTGGCACTCCAACTTTAGAGCTGCCCGGTTTACAAACACCTGTGTGGTGGGGCCCCCCAGAGGGGGCCACTTTGGTCAGTTGTACGTGGGAGCCTGGAGAGCCTTGGGCTCCTAGGCAGACAACAGAGGAAGGTGCCAGGGCAGGGAGGAGAGTGGCAGCCTCCCAGGGGTCTTTGCATGCAGGTGTTGGAGAGAGTAGGGAGGAAGCTACAAACTGCATCAAATGGGAAGACTCCTGGGCGCAGTGGGGAGGCTGAAGCCCCTCGCCAGGGCCTGGCTGGGACCACAGTCTGTGGAGCAGCTGGGGGAGGGGACGGTGGCCACACCAGCAACCAGTGCTACAAGGTTAAAACAGCCCCCAAAGGGCTGGGGCCCAGGGCTTCCAGCTGCAGGGGCTGGGGCCCAGGCCAGGAGCCAGGCTCTATCTCTCCGACTTGACCCGGTAACGAAGCACGAGGTACGCCAGCAGCCGCAGGGCCAGGAAGAAGATGCCCAAGACCAGGAAGTCCATGTACAGCTTGGCATCCTCCACATCCAGCGCCCGGAGGATGCTCTGTGGCTCCCGGAACGGGCAGCGCTCCTCCAAGCACGTCAGGTCTCCTCGCTCCATGCCATAGATTGTCAGGATCACACCCTCAAAGCCATACCTAGGTAGGCAGGGGCGTCAGAGCTTGACAGAGCGCCGTGTCCACTCCCTGGGCAAACTGCCAGAGCCCAGCTCTGACCCCCCTGAGCCAGCCAGGGCGCCCTGCCCGCGGGAGAGTTAGGCAGGCACCAGACCCGGCACAACCGGGGTCTCCTGGGCACAGTCCCCTGCAGGGCAGGAGAAGGAAGGGGCACTGACCTGACGTAGGAGAGATAGGAGCTCCACTGCAGGTAAGTGGGGATGGTCTTGAAGCTGACAAAGAAGCCAGAGAACAGGAGGACAGGGATCGCGGTGACCGGGCCCACGAAGGTGGCCACCTGGAGGGAGGGGGAGGGCCAGGCCATCACAGGAGTGACCAGGACAGACTGGGTCCACCCCTGATGGCCCCCCATGCTTCCTCCCACAAGGCCCCATGGGGAATCCCCACCTGTAGGGAGTTGGAGGCGGCGCCGATCAGCAGCCCCAAAGACTGGGCCACCAAGGCCGTGGCGGTGGCCAGGGCTGAGAAGAGCAGGAAGCGGCTGGTCTCAGCTGGCTGGCCCGTCATCCAGTACACGATGCTGCAGTACACCACGGGGCACACCACCTGGGGGGCGGGCATGCAGCTGGGCAGCAGACCTTAAGCCGGGGGCCTGGTGGTCAAGACCCTCCACTCCCCCCTAGCTCTAGAGCACCTGTGCCTGCAGTGTTCCCTGCCTGTGCTGCCTCCACCCTCTCCATCACCCCGTCCCCCAGATTGACACGTGGCACCTGCCAGTCCCACCGCTCCATTAGGCCTGCTCTGACCAGCTCAGACACAGTGACATCTCCCTGCTCTGAGCTCCCAAAGTCCTTCCTGGCCAGGCCTGCTTGGTGCTTGTATTGTTACTGCGGTCGCTCGTCCTAGGAGCCTGTTTGGTTTTCCCAGGAGACTATATCCTGTGTGTAGAATCAACAAATTTACAGATCTGAGCTACACCTGGAGGACCACAGGCAATAAAGTCCTGTTGTATTAGGAGTTCCTGTTGAAGTTTAGTGTATTTCAGTTGCTCTTGTCACAGAAAGATAACTCTGAGATGAGAGCCATGTTCATTTGCTTCAGCATGGTAACACTTTACTCTCTGCATCTCATAGCACAGCATTATAAACCTCAAATATACACAGTGAAACGTTTTCTTTTTAATAGAAGAGTAGGCACGTGTCTAGCCTGGCAGTAAAGACACAAGTTAAGACTCTTGCATCCTACATCACAGCACGTGGGTCCGATGCTCAGCTCTGGCTCCTGACCCTGGCTTCCTGCCACTGTAGACCCTGGGAGGCAGCGGCAAGGGCTCAAATACTTGGGTTCCTGCCGCTCGCATGGGAGACCTGGATTGAGTTCCTGGCTCCAGGTATTTTAGGAGTGAATTAGCAGATGGGAGCTCTCTGTCTCTATTTATCTCTCTCTTCTCTGCCTTTACCTCTTTCTCTTAGTCGCTGCCTCTCAAATAAATAAATAGTAGAAGAAATAGTATTATAAGAAAAAATTGCAATAGAGAGGGGGGTGGAGAGTAAAAGATGCAGGCAGGAACCAAGCATGTGGCTTAGCATTAAAGATGATGGTTGGGACACACCCCACAGCCTGTATCACAGTGTCTGGGTTGAAGTCCCAGCTCCACTCCTGATTCCAGCTTCCTGCTAATGCATAACCCTGGGAAGCAGCAGGTGATGGCTCAAGTGGCTGGGCTGACACGGATTGAGTTATTGGCTCCCAGGCATTTTGGAGTAAACCAGTGGCAGGGACTTTGTCTCTCAAAAATAAATAAATAAACAAACAGATTTTTTTTTTAATATGGAAGCAGGATAGAACCAAGTGTGTGTGCCCAACCGCAGGCCAAGATCCAGCCTGTGTTGTTGTCATGGAACCTGGCACAGCACAGGAGCCACCCCCGAGGAATGGGTGCCCCCTCGTAACATGCAGGTGCCTGGGGATGATTGGCAGCCCTGGTGCTCAGAACATGGTGGTGATAGTCATAACAAGAAACCGACTGGGGGGCCGGTGCTGTGGCATAATGAGTAAAGCCACTGCCTGCAGTGCCGGCATCCCATGTAGGTGCCGGTTCAAGTCCCAGCTGCTCTATTTCCAATCCAGCTCTCTGCTATGGCGTGGGAAAGCAGTGGAGGATGGCCCAGGTCCTTGGGCCTCTGCACCCGCATGGGAGACCTGGAAGAAGCTCCTGGCTCCTGGCTTTGGATTGGTGCAGCTCTGGCCACTGAGGCCATCTGGGGAGTGAACCAGTGGATGGAAGACCTCTCTCTCTGCCTCTGCCTCTCTGTAACTCTGCCTTTCAAATAAATATAAGTCTTAAAAAAAAAAAAAAAAAAAGAAGGAAAGAAACCAGCTAACATTTAATGAGTGCTTCATATATGCCACGCACTGTTCTAAGATTTTTCTCGTAGTCAGTCATTTACTTCTCATAAAGAATCCTGTAGGAGGTCCTCTCGTCACCCCCTTTACAGACACTGAAACAGGGAGACGTGCAGCTAGCACACGGTAGCAAGCCCCGGGGTCTACTGATTGTCTGCTGCCTCCGACAGTCTTACAGGGAGTCATTTGTAAGGTTGCCCTCGGCAGCATCTTCTGGTGGTTGCTAGTTGTTTCCACTAAAACATCAGCTTGTGAGCTCAAGGCTCTATCAGAGCTATCAGTGCTAGTACAGACCTGGTGCACGGCAGGTCCTCACCACCCACCTGCTAAGCGATGGAGGGAACAAGACAGCATGGAGGCAGTGGGGGCGGGGCTGAGGCTCACCTGAAAGGGCACATCGGCCATGGTCTTGGCCAGGTAATACGCTTTGAGGCTGTACCAGTAGTTGAGGTGCTCCCTCATGAAGACTGCCATCTCCAAGGGGACTACGGACACAGGCAGATCAGGCACAGCTGGCTGACACCCCGCCCCTCCCCCATGGCCCATGCCCCGGGCAGCTCAGCTCACAGGTAAGCACAGTCGGCATAAGGGCAGCAAACATGAGGAACAGCATGGAAAAGAAGAGGCAGCCGGTGTTGTTGAAGACCTTGCTGGCATCGTCGCCGATGTGCAGGTAGAGGAGACCGATGAGCACGCCAATCACCACGTGGGACACGAACCGCAGGTGGGTCAGGACCTGTGGGAAGGGTCGCCGAGAGGACACGGGATGCGTCACAGCCCAGGGATGGGCAGGCCATCCAAGGGTTGGAGCTTCCCAGGCACACAGACCCACAGGTGCCAGGATCTTCCAGCCCAAAGGGCCAGGCCTATGGGCTGATGGCAGCTTCCTCTCCCCCGACCCAACGCCTCACCGTGTCCCTGAGGATGGACAAGAAGGTCCTCTTGAAGAGGATGCAGAACTGCGTGAGGGTGCTGGTGGCAAAGGTGTGGCTCTCGATGGGATCCACTTCCTGGGGAGAGAAAATTGGCTCCGGTGAGCCTGGCCCGGCCTGGAGAATGGGCAAATGCTGAGCCCGGCCCAAGGGCAGGGGTCCTCCAGGTCTGCAGGAGAATCCTCCACCACTGGGTTGGGTACGGGGAAGCTGGGCTGAGGGGTACGAATCGTAGAGAGATTTATTGAGAGAGGCGAGGAGGGAGTGAACACCTGGGAGGGGGGAGATGGAACAGTGGCCAAGGAATCCCAGTTGCATCTTTAATGCATTGAAAAGCACTAACCCGAAGTGTACAAGGGTTATCGCAAAGTTCATGAGTATTACGAAGACACCATTAATGGATTCAACGTTTTTGCACCAAAATAAACTTGTGTTTTAATCCCATTTTCTATGAGTTTTTGAAGGTACCACTGTATAATTCCTCTATGCCACCCATTTCACATTAATATTATTTAGTGATAATAATGACAGCAATGACAATAATAGGGTGGGCTTTGGCTTAGCAGCTACGCTGTCAGTGGTGCGTCTCCATCCCGTATCAGAGCGCCTGGGTTTGCGTACCAGTTCTGCTTCTGATCCCAGCTTCCTGCCAGTGCACACCCTGGGAGGCAGCACGTTGTTGAGTCCCTGCCACCCACATGGGGGACCTGGATTGAGTTCCTGGCTCCCATGCACTTGGGAAGTAAACTAGCTGTTGGGACCTCTCTCTCTCTCTCTCTCTCTTTCTCTCTGCCCCGTAATGAATTTTATTTTGTTATTCAAGTTTCATTTACTCAAATTTTTATTTATATGAGAGGCAGAGATACAGAGAGACACAGAGAGAAAGAGACAAAGAGAGGTAGACAAGAAGAGATTTTCTATCTATGGCTTCGACTCTTAAATGCTCATAACAGCCATACATGTTCATATCA